TCAGGGTATATTAAAACTATCCCGATATTATCAACCCTCGCATATATCAACATAATTTCCCAATCCAAATTGGTAGATATTAACGGGGGTCAAGTATAATCAAAATTTGGCATTCTAAATTGCTGCAGGGTATAGCCCACGGGGTATACATGTCGGGTAAATACGGTACTTTAACCAAACCCTAATATTGGTAAGGTTTCGATTGAGACTTGGTCCGAGTAATCAGGGTAAATTGGGTTTATAGAATAGTGTCTGGTCCAGATAAGTGTTCCCCTACTTTCGTTTCGGTAGCTTGGTCGCTTTCTTGTTACTTTACTAATATTTAACTTCTTTCGAATCGGTTACTGAGGCAGGAAATTCGATTTACAATGTCACGTGGTCACGGGTCACGATTCAGATCAGTTACGTATGAGTATCGATTTTTAATCAATTTTACTCAATAAAGCAAACTTTACTACCAAAGATGACAATACCAAAAATAAAAACTTAACATATAAGAGGTCTGATTACTAATTGTTACTCTTTCTCTTGTGTAATACTAAAATGGAGTATACGATAGTTATGGTCGAAAATTTTTAGTGCTATATAAATCAAGTGATATACAGGCAATCCAGTCTTAATGAATACTGTTTAAATGGATATTCTGCATAAATTTTAGGAACCAAGCTGTTACTGAGGCTAGTTGTATAAACTACTTTACTAAATGATGCATAAACATTTTCTAATTTTAATAGCAAAAGTTATGCTAACTAAATTTTTTAAAATTTATCTGTATAATTGTTACTCAAAATTTTGTAATTTGTTTGGTTAAATTGCAAACTATAAAAATGTTATTTTATTTATTACCGTAGTGCACTGACCAAAGTACCCCCCTTTTTGCGTACCCCCCATTCAAAATACCCGGGTACTTTGTATAGCATTTTTTTTTTAACCGTGGATAATACCCGGGTATTTTGCATGGCATTTTTCACGTTAACACATATTGATTTCTGCATTACATATATAAGACCGTACAAAGTACCCCCCATACAAGATACCCGTCATCGATCAAGATACCCACGGGTACTTTATAAGTTTTTATTTGGATAGATTGTATTGGACCCGGGTACTTTGGTCAGTGCACTACGGTATACAATTTTATGAATGAATATCCTATCTAAATGAATACATAAATGGTTCATCAACCATATTCATTTAGACTAGTATGACTGTATGAATCATGATCCATAATAAATTTACTATAATCAAGTCAGTTCGTGTTGTCTTTGGTTATTTTAGCTAATCTGTTCGGAGCACTACTTATATAATTTGCTAAGTAACTGTTAAGTAAATCATAAGCGATTAATAAGCAATTTTAAATCACTAGAAATAGTCACTTTTAATCTTAGCAATCACACGATGTCATATATATTATTGGTTCAAATTTTATTTAATATAATCATTCAATTTATCCTCTCATTCAATTTATCTTATCATTCAATTTATCTTATTCAATTTAACTAATCACAAAATTGAAGATTTCCTCCCATATGAGGTGGGTCTTAAAATAAATAGTCAATTAAAAGTGAATATTCATTACACAAAATTCGTGAATATTCAACGAATATTAAATTGCACGAATTCGTGAATAGTCGAGGTGAATAATCTAATATTTAATTATTACGAATACCCATGTAAAATCTGGATGTACAATCAATACTAGGATGTCAAAAATTCGCAGATATTCATTAAATAGAACCTACTCTAATATCAATTTGGGGTGCAAACGGTCACGATTATTCGTGACCAATTTGCTAAATATTAAGATGATTTTTTATTTTTAAGCTTTTAATTAAAGTTGTTCAGAATTTCATCCCAGCTTATAAGTGGAATGAACGATATCTTTCCCGGAACTCAATTTCAAAATTCATTAACGTTATAACCGGTTATGACATTAACAAATTTTAAAATTATGAGTCCCAGAGAAGGTATTGTTTTCCCACTTATAAGATGGGATGAACAGAATTTAATTCTGAACAACTTTAAGGGTAGGGTGTCCGTAGATCATTTTTAATAGTAATCATGTGGTATTCATATGAAATCATGTGTTTGACCAATCAGAATCGTAAAAACAACAAATTTGACCAATCAGAATCAGTAATTTTTGTGCAACCTAAGTAAATTTGGGGTTACCTAAGTATTTTTATCAATATACGAAGTAGATTTTTTTAAAAGATACAGTGTTTATAATTTTACTGTTATAAATTAGAAACCCCAAATTATATACTGGAAAAATTTGGTGAAGATTAGTCATGATTCTAAAAAGTTTTATCAGTGGTGAAATTTTGCTGTCTATGTAAAATTTTAATATACCATGTAGATCATATGAAAAATGATCTACGGACACCCTACCCTTAATTAAAAGCTCAAAAATAAAGAATCATCTCAGTATTTAGAAAATTTGCAATAAATAATCATGACAGTTTGTAACCGAACTTATCCCTAGTATGACATCAGTCTATTTACAAACACAGAGCAGATGATATAATGATAATGACAAACCCATGTAGAACTCCTACAAAAATTTTCCACAAAGTAGCAAAAAAATGCATAGATATCTCTGTATTTTACTAGTAAAATAGGCTAAAAAAAATGTTTATGAAATTTTATTATAGAACACTAACCAAACATAGCAATAATTTAACACTTAGGTGTAATTATATGAATTTGGTGCCATTGTTTTAATTTTTTTTTGTAAATTTGGTGGGTTGTTAGATGTGAAATGAAATGCTTTGTAGGACACTTAATATGCTCTGCACTTAAAGTCTCTGCACAGAATGCAAGGATCTTTTCTATAAGCATAGACAAAAGTATACCATGAACCGTGTGCAACAATTTTGTATAAAATATCATATTGTAACTGTGCCTTATTTTGGTTTTCTCATCTGATATTCTGGGTTTTTTATCTATCTTTAATATACAATCAACTCTTTTTATACTGAGCCCTAGATTCTGGCCAAAAAAAAAGTTCATTACAGTGGTGATCATAAGTAATAGAACAAAAAAAAATTTTGGTTAGATCACGTTATTTTGTGCAATTCTGGACATATCCATTTGTTTTTTTTTTAATTTATTTGTGAATACTATAAGCTTCATATAAAAAAAATTCAAAACAAAAATGATTCTAATTTTTCGTAAAAATGAACTTTATTTCATTTACTGTATTGTATTACTTTTGATTGTGCATAATGCAACACAATCATAAAACAAAAAAAAATTTTTTTACATATAAAAAAAAAATGGTTTTTTTCTATTCTAATCCTCCAGGCTGTTACTACCTGGTGTATCCACCACGTGCTCTAATAACATCACGATGCTGTTTGGACATAGATCGAATCAGGTAGTGCAGGTTTCAATATCGATTTGCTGCCAAACCACCTGGATCTTGTTTCACAGGTCTTCTTTACTTGAAATTTGCCCAGAGAGGTTGCTAAGTCGATGGTCAACCTCAATCTACAAATGTTTGATGGGGTTGAGATCAGGAGACTGGGGGACCAATCCAACAGCCTAATGCGGTTATTCTTTAACCAACGTTTCATCAACCTTGCCATATGCTTGGGGTTGTCTTGCTAGAAAATCACATTACAAATATTAAATTTGCAATTTTTAATTGTCTTTAAAAAATCCTCACAAAGTATTTGACGATATAACTCGCTATCCATATGGCCTTCGATTCTACAAAAACTACCAACGTTGCAAGATGTAAAGCAACCCCAAATTATAACAGAACCACAGCATATTTCATCGTAGAGTTAATGTGAAAGTCGTTTAAAGATTCTCCAGGACACTTCTAATAATATTGCTTGCTGTCTGACCCAAAAATCTTGAACTTTAACTTGTCTGACCAAATTACCTTGGCCCAGTCTCCGTAAGTCCAACTTTAATATTTTTTTGCAAATTCTAACTGACATTTTTTATGAAGTTGGCTTAGATAAGGCTTCTTTCTTTTAACACCTGACACCAAACTGTGGAACCTAAGTATACAACGTATAATGAGCACAGAAATATCGATTAAATAATGTATATTTAGATATTTTATTTTGGGAGATTTTTAATAAAAATTTTATAATGTTCTATTATAACGAACTTTAAGATACAAAAGATTGCAGTTTTTTTATTTATCAAATGTCTTAATTAAACCCGGTAATTTATAAGAAGTTTTTTGAATTGCTCTATGAAAATTTAATCCTATATACTGTTGGGTTTGGAGAATAACATATTTTTAAACCAACTATTATTTATAATAGGGTTTTAAAATGCGTCGAGCTAATAACAATTTTTTTATTTTTCATTTTTTTGATCAAAAATGCTAAATACGACTTAATAAAATTTTATTTAAAATTCCTAAAAATCTTAGAATATTATGCAAATCGTTATTCTGAGCAACTTCACTTACTACTTTCCTTATTAAAAAATTAAGTTACATATGTGGCTACGATCATCATTAGGTAACGTGAAAATCAAAATTCCGGTGATCAATGTCAGGGGAGTGTACTATTAATTCTATTAATTATGACTTCCAATGACTTTTTACAATTTACTAAACTTTAAATTTGCAACTAACCATTTGATTGGCTAATTTAAACGGGAAATACGCGCAGTTTCGTGTAACTAAGGACGTTCTCACCTATAAGATCCCCAATTACTTCAGGTGCCATCAAAGGCGTTCTTGTTAGTATTGTTTTTGTTCTTTTTTGTTTTTTTTTTTTCTTACTTGCCTTCGCTATACTTGTTTCCTATATGTTATCCAGTGTCCTATAACGTTATTCAGTAAGCAACTGACAAATAAAAACGGTAGAAATAAGTTTTACATCCAAAGGTAGGTGTTTAGCTTATTTGCGAAATATTAGTCTCTTGTAAAAGCGTTCCTTTAGCTCGTGCTTCGTCTGTCAACGTGGGTCTTTAACTCTTTATCTTTATTATCGGTTTAAACTTAGTCTAAACCTTAAGCATACTTCGAAATGACCAAAACTCAAGCGTACTTTGGCCCCCATGCACAAGTATACACGAACGAGACTAACTTTAACGAGAATCGTGTGGGCTTTTTAATAAGAATTGATAGTGGTCATCAACAAACAATAAAACTACAGGAAAAATGTGATGTACAAAAGTCAGAAACTCCTTTCACGCCTAAATCACCTAAAATACATAAATCACCATATCAAATCGAACAAGAGTTCCTAATAATACAAGCGCGTGCTTTGAGTCAACTAAGATCTGCTCTTAAAAAAGCCTTAGAAAGATTTAATAAAAAGCCACCAAAGTTTCAAAATAACGATGATCACATGATTCTTGTTCATGTGAGATCTTATTTTGAAAGAGCAATTAAAAATCTTCATGGTAATTTTTATGAGTACAGTTCTCCCAAAGCCACGCATGTATTTGGAGGAGTTCCAACTGTGAATACTGGATTACTAACTAATTTAGATGGCTCCAAATATAATAGTCCTTATAATGAATACGGCTTTGCTTCGTCATCCCGATCTAATAATCTATTAATTACATCAAGTGATGTCGCCTCATCATCCCGTTCTAATAAACCATTAACTGTGTCAAATGATGTTGCTACATCATCTCGATCTAATAATGGTTTATGTGGCATGTCTAGGAAAGGTAACTTAGATTCTCCTCAAACTAACAATGTATTAATTGGAAATGCTCTAGAATTTCCAATTGTAATTGAATGTGATGATGATGATCGAGATTTCAAAAGTGGTGATAGAGAATCTCCAATCGTGCTGGATAGTGATGATGAAAAAGATCTTCGTGAATTGGCTTTCGATAAAGATGAAGTTATCATAATTGACGATGATGATGAGGAAGATGCAAACAATATCAAAAGTAGCAAAGACTTGAAGAGAAAATCCTTACCAAATGACCATGACAATGGTGCTGGTCCTTCTAATAAAAAACTAAAAAGCATGAAAGTTGAAGATGATACTTTGGGAGAGTTTATTCCTATTGAACCAATCACTTTGTCTGACCTTAATGCACCGCAACGTGTTTTTCTTCATAGTGATGATAAGCCTAACGGCATTCATGAAAAGTCTAACGGTATTCATGAAAAGTCTACCACCATTTATGAAAAGTATACCGCCATTTATGAAAAGTCTAACACCATTCATGAAAAGCCCACCACTATGAAAAGGAGGAATAGATCAGAATTCAACCAGCTCATTTATTCAAATAGATGTAATTATATATATATTATTTATTCATCGATTATTTATATTTTTCAAATAACTGATTTACTAATGTCTTTTAGACATTAGAGGTGTTACCAATCTAAGGACCGATTTGCCTCCCATTCCTCCGATAAATGATCCGTGCTTGGCGAAGATGGCCGTCGGTTATCATTCTCATAACGCTCAATGGGAAACTCTCGAATTCCTTGGCGACAGAGTCTTAACATCCTGCCTTTTGAAAATGGCAAAAAGTCGATACAGTCCAAAATACTGTTCAAAGGAAATTAGTAAAAGTGTTTCAGTAATGGCCACCAATAAAATTTTGGCCGCATATACTGTAACACTTGGTCTTCAAGAACTTAATGGTATGGAATTTCCGGTAATCATAAAGCTTCACGCTGATGCTTTTGAAGCATACTTTGGAGCATATTATCTAGCATGCGGGGAATTGGCAACTTGTGTTTATCTTGAGAACCTAATGACCCCGCTGTTCGATCTTATTGTTGCTCATATCGCAGCTGGTAACAGCATTACAAGTACATGCGATATAGCCTCAAAGTACTTCTCAATGCCATGGATTCATGGTATTCCTCGTCTTCAACGGTAATGCAGAAGTGTTATGTAATTTAAATGATTGTAAATAACTTTAAACATTTTCTCATTATTTTTTTGATTTACTAACAGAAGTATTGCACTTGCTAAACCTTAAACCAGTAATAAAATATAATTATTTGGATGCTGTTAATGAAATATTACATTTAAATATTACATGTAAATTTATAAATTCATGCTGAAAAAAAAAATTTTGATCTATCGCCAAATATTATGTAATATAAACAAAATTGCGGTCTAACTGACTATGATAACAACTTTGGTCCTTGGTAAAATACCCAACGCGAAATATAATTAAATATATACATAATCAAAAACGTTTAGTTTATCCTTTTATGTTAAATGTTTAGAGGATGATACGTATGATCTACTACTACGTATAGAAATACGTAAACCTCTAAATTCATGAAATTCATGTTACATAAAAAAAACAATAACTGAAAGAACGCGATCCTAAATTTACGTTCATACGCGGCGCACAAGCACGTGATGTTTCTAATTGCCCATCTATTCCTGCATTTATAAAAAACTACCGTTAGAAAAACTTTAAACGATTGAATTCTTTTGATAAAATCAAAAAGACATAAACGATTGAAAAAGACATAAACGAAGGTAACACTCTATGATGCACATTATGATGCACATTTCGTTTCATACAGCTCTCTTATTTTAAAGACTTATTATTCCATGTTAATAGATCATGACTTCAAAACGAGGTGGAAATGTATTGAAGCTAAATAAAACTCAAGGTAGAGGGGGTGGAGGTGTGTGTGTATACGTTCATACGCTGTGTGGGTGGTGAAGCATTTTACATGAGTTAACAGATTATAATAGCAAAAAAATCCAAAGGAAAGATGCCCAACGTCGGTGGTAACTCTAATATAAGTCAATCTGGACCGATCCCTCAATTAGAAAGAATTGCGAAAAGAGGTTTATTTTATTTTATTTTATTTTATTCTTATTTATTTTATCATAGACTTGTTAATGTTCTATTAGTATTATCAATTCTTATAAACTCTTTAACTATAAGGGGGGTCAACGTCGCCAAAACCACGTCAAGGTGTTTCTTTAGAAGAGTTAGTAAAACGTACTGCACGTGCTAATCGTTTTCGAGATACTCTTGATCCTTCACAGGTATTTATTTTATACATTTATTATTATTTAAAATTGTTTTAGCACATTAGGTGACTTATAATTCAGGCTCGATGTAATATAGTTATTAAGCGTAGGCGGTGTTGTACCTCATGGACGAAATTCAATTGTTAAAAATGATGGATCACCAATTAATCCTGTTGACGATTTTTTTGAAGTACTTTCAATTTATCATCAAACACAAATGATGATCAAACAAGTCAATAATACTCTTCCATTAGTAAGAAAAAAGTTAGCTTGGGATTTTTTCCATGAAGAAACATTACCAATTACTCTTAATTCGTTATACGAAAAAGATGATCCTGATAAAAGCAAGAATTTTGTGGAAATAGAAAATGTCGATTTTATAATGGAAGCTAGTAAATTTCCTACCAAACCTAAATCGTTAGATCTTTCAACTTCTCCAAACTTTTTTGATGTTGAAATGGAGGATGTAGAACGATTTATTGCCACATCTCCAGTTAGTACTGGTGCAACTTTTCGTTACGTTGAAATGGATGTAGATGAGACATTTCCACCTTTATATATATCACCTTTTCCTCAGGCAATTAATTTTAATTTATTTTGACAAAATTAGTATTCATGAATCTTGATTATTATTATTATTATTATTATTATTATTATTATTGTTGTTGTTGTTGTTGACTTTTTTTTCATTTTAGACACCATTATTATCCAATCCTTCGACAATAATTCAAACAGATCAATTGACCTCGACTCTAAATCTTTCATCACAACTTCAAATGCGTTTGGGTACACGTTCGAATGATGTAATACGTAAAAATTCTCTTGAACGAATAAATTCAATAATTCCAGGTGAATTTTTTTTTCTAATCTTGGTTAAAAATTAAATTTTTAATTAAATTTAACCTAATTTGATTTCAAATACACATATATATATGTATTTAACATTCAAGCTACCGAAAAGTCAAATTCTATGCTTTCGACAATGGATGTCGAATACGAAACCAATTCCAATCAAGATGAATCCATTATAGGACCAGAGAATACACTTGTAAACTCACCCACTGAGGAAGAATTCAAACAAATTGGGGAAGCTACAACCGAAACTACAGATGTCATTAGTAATACAGACCCACCAATAGTTGATGAAGTAGATGATGAACCAGAAGAATTAGAGTATGTAATGGTTAATTGTTTATAATTGACCAAATTAATAATTTAATTCATATTAATAATTGAATTCATTATTTAATTCACTATTTCTTATGTTACCACAGTTTACCTACACCAAAATTAGATTTATATAGTTTAGTTCATGGTCCACCTCAATTAACCCAGGCTCAAGTATTAAAAGAAGATAAAATTAAACAAAGACAAGCACTTTATAAGAAAACAAAAGCACTTCCAGATCGTCGAAAATCTGAGAAAAAGCGAAGAAAAAAAAGATACGACATACTAATAAATAAAAATCGCAATGTTCAGTGTGTACTTTCGCATATTGATGATCAAAAGGCTGAAGCAATAAAAAAAGCTCAAGAAGAAGTTGAATTACAAAAGAAGGCCATTGAAGAGCAGAGCTCATATGATGAAGATTATGAGTCCGCCAGACAAGAAATAAGGCGTCGGAGTCAGATCTTTGAAGGTGTTAAAAATAAATATATCGAGCTTGCTAAAAAAGATCCTAAATATAATAAGTATTCCATGACTAAAATTCAGGAGGAAGCACGAATTGAGATTGATAATACACCATCACTTCTTAGATCATAATTTAATATGAGAAATTTATGTTTTAAAAATTAAATTTCCATTCATCTACTGTAGATTTCATTATAATAAGTAAATACTCTTAGAAATTACAACTGTTTATCAGACGTAATTTTGAGTAAACTTTTAAGTATATCATTGTAATTAGAATATAATTTGTTGTTTTTTAAAAAAAAAAAATTAAAAGTTTTAAACTTGAATTTATCTGTATAAAAAAATTTAATAAAAATTAATTGCCTGATTAGAATTAATAATTTTTACAGGATGTCTAAATGACGCAAGGGTCTTGTACAGATGTAATGAGTTGTGACTGGAACTTAATTACCCTTGTCACTGCATACAGTACCGGGGTCTAAGAATTTCATTTTTTAAATTGTATAGTACCCGTGGGCAGTGTTGTCATGGGACACGGACACGGACGGCGGACAGTCCGGGACGGGACGTCCGGGACATGTCCGCCCAGAATTTTTTTTGTCCCGGACATTTTGCGACTCAACACGTGATCATCTACCAATAAAATTCGTATAATCCGCAATTTGATTGGTTTTACCCGGCGGACATGTCTATCATATTGGGACATTATTGCGGACATGTCCCGGACGTCCCGTCCCGGACTGTCCGCGTCCCTGAAAAATCGGCGGGACAATGTCCGTGTACAACACTGCCCGTGGGTACTGTGTGAGGAACCGGGTACTATATTTAGGGATATATCATATAAGCAGTAATAAATTCATAAAGTTAAACCCCGTATATTATTCAATAATTAAGTCAGGATAGTGATGAATAATGCTCGGGTCTTAATGCAGTGGCGAACGGTAGTTATCTAGATAATTTACGGATATTTATAAGTCTTAAGATATTTTGTATCATTCAGATTTAGTAGACTTGATTTTTTTATAAGTAATAGAAATCTTTTAATATATAAATATCTTTGAAATTGGTTGAAAACTCAACTTATTGAAAATTTGCAAACATAGCAGTTTCTTAAATTTATAACTTTTCTAAATTTTTTTCAACTACTTTCTAGTAAATATGTTTCTAAATATAATACTTAACTATATAGAGTTATATCAATATTGGTATCTGGTCATTATTGATTAATAATTGTTACTGCTGCACTATAAATAAAAATCATTTAAAGCTTTACAAATCAATTAGTATCTATATATATACTTATATACTTATCTTGCTTATCTGACTTTAGACTATCTTTGTAAATAATAAATATTATATTAATATCAAATCAATAATCTATTGAATTAGCAAAATAATTATTTAATTAACTTTTTTTTTTTTTTTTTTTTTTTTTTTTTTTTATTAACTAGCCTCTTTGACATAGGGATTTTTATTAAAGTATACTGGGTGGGGAGCTCACAGAATCCCAATTATATTAGAGAGTACAACTAGTCATATGTGTAACTTTTGGTTGTTTATTTAAGTAGTCTGCATATAAATAACTGTACACTATAGGTTCTACAGTGGAAATAACATAATTATGTTATTTCTACTTAATATAGATTATTCTCACTCAGGTATGAGTCGTGATGACAAAAATGTGACACTGTTGTCAGTGTCATGATAAAAGAAATGTAACACCATCATCTGTGTCATAATCTATATTTTATGACACATTTTTGACGAAAGAAATGTGACATCGTCTGTGTTGTAATCTATATTTTATGACACATTTTCTACAACAGAAATGTAATACCATCGTCAGTGTCATGAGGGTGTCTGCGATTCATTTTTTAGGCAATATATGGGGTTGAGTTAATAAAAATCAAGCAAATTTTTTCTAAGTAAATTTTTTTTAAACTTTAAACAACAATAACTCAACAAAATCTTAATCAGATTTAATTAAATTTTTTAAAATAAATTCTACAAACTTATAGAATTTGTTTAAAAAATTTTTATTAAATTTGATCAAGTTTTGGTTAAGTTATTGGTATCTAAAGTTTTTAAAAAAATTTAATAAAAACAATTTGCTTGATTTCTATTGACTCACCCCCATATATCATAAATCTGGCCACACTCGAAGGTGGTTTATTTTATAAATCTGACCATATTAATATGTGGCTGATTTTATAAAGTTGACTACATAGAGCCAGTCGCATACAAAAAAAATGTGATTTGGCTATATCTGAGATCAAGAACTTATGCAAAATTTGGTGTGTCGTAACCTGAATTGCATATGAAGTTAAGATACATAGCAGTAGTTGTATACCATATTGCGAGTGAGTTAGTTTAGTCATAAGATTGATGATCCGAATCATCATTTGTGGACCCGATGTGAAGGCTATACCTGAACTAGGATCATAGTGTCTGATTAATTCCTCTATAAAGCTTATATAGTAGTACAAAAATATCAATCTGTTTCTTTATATAATACATCCAAAGATAATGCAAGTAATGACCTATTTGTTAGCTTTGCAAGATTCATTCAAATATCACTCAAGGATGAAGCACATAGTGCCAAATAATACACATTTGATGTTAATTCAAAACGATTCTCTTATTTATTGTAAAAAGTTATATATAATAAATGTACTATTAGTTACTTTATAAAAGAATACTATAAAACGAATTTCATGAAATATTTATAATTACAATATGAAAATAAATAGATGATATATAAAAAAATTTACTATTGATAACTGCCCTCACAATGTTTCAAAGTTTTATTACAAAAAGCTATTCCGACCAAGAGTTTAAGACAATCTTCATCTTCCTTACAAGTATATAACCAACATGGACGCTCTGGTGTTACTGTTATATCACAGAATTGTGTTTTCTTGCAATTTCTGGAATTATCATAGCAGACATAAATGCAGTATTCTGCTAGACTTCTAGTGGCACACACAAATCCAGATCCGAGTTCAAGTTTACATGCTTCATCATCCACTACTTTACCATATTCATTTAAGCTACTATTGCATTTAATTAATTCTAACGCAAGAGCTTTGGACATGAGGAGAGTTATGTAAAAGAAAATCAGAAAATATGAGTAGTTCATTTTTGCAAGAATGGATATGCAAATTTCTTAAGAGTTTTGAAATATTTTTAATCAAAAGAGGTAAATTTTTTTAAAAACAAAAACACACGATACTTTGAATTCCATGTATATATACTTGTATAATTATAATCTCATATGATTACTCAGTTCACATTATTAATTGGTATAATTGTATGCTTTTAATTTCTGTATGATTACCTAGGTTATATAATCATATTAATATTTTTTTTGTCACTAGATGTCACCAGTTGTTTGCAGGTACTTGTGACAGAACTTGTAAGCCTGTTTGAAAGTTTTGAGCTTTTTTGTTTCTTCCTTGATTACTTCTTTATATCTGTCACAAGTTACTTAAGTAAAATTGTAGAATTCTAAGAGAAAAAAATAAACTCTTTCCTATAATATCCCTTTGATATATACCTGATGCATATACCTATTACATATACCCAATGCATATACCTATTACATATATATCTGACATGTATACCCAGTATATATACGATATACTAGATACGATATACTAGATACCTTCGATACATATATACCTGATATATACATATGGGTATACTTATAAAAAAAATAAAAAAAAGTGAGAGTTGACAAATTAATCTAAGAAACTTGTGACACTTGTGACAGTTATCGAAAACAGTTTTTTTCGAACTTAGACTCTTAAGAATATAGTTTTCTACTGATTTTTTTTACTTAAAACAAACTTGTGACAACTTGTAACACTTGATTGAACTATGTTTATATACTTATTATTTATTTTTTCCAAGCATCTCTGATTTTGGTGCAATTTTCTTCAGCTTTTCTCGCTGATAATGATCTTGAAATTTATACTTACCAGCATAAGTTCTGCATGTGCCAAATATAGATGACATTAATTTATCACACTCTTTACATAGTACATGGGTGAGAGAATTCTAGTGAACTCTACATCCCTCTGGTCAATAACAATCTTTGTTACAAACCTTACCAGTTCAGAAAATATAAGAACAACGATAAAATCTCATATCTATATGAAATTCTTTGATAATGTATGTATTATATATTTAATACTAATTATCTGAAATAATTAATTTTCATTTTGAACTTTTCTTTAACCAATATTATATTATTCGAGAAACATGAGTGAATCTACCAAGAGCCAAGATTTTCAAGAAAGTGTATCTGTAGAGGTGAAAGCATCATCTTATTGACAAGAGAGCTCAGAAAACTTAGAGAATTTCAAGCCAAAGATTGAGGAAGGCTCTTCAAGCCATTGCGAACAATAGAAAATAACAGAGCTTTCTACCATCAGGGCCAAAGCTTTTTCTTAATTACAGATTTCGAAAAGTAAAAAAGTAAGCAAAGTATATCAATACAATAAAAAAGATTATTTACTAGTCTATCTAAGTCGCAATATAATAATTACAGAAATTAATGACTACAGATCAACTGCACCTATTAAACAGGCTTTAGTCAATAGAGAAGATATACCTTTTATGCCAATTGACATTAAAAAATATAATAAGATCAAATATAGTATAGCCTACCCCTTAATAAAATCTTTAAAAATCTTTAAATTAATTACTATATATATATTATAATCTTTTAAATTAGCTTTTTAATATTGATTAAAATATTAATTATAATATAAATACAATAAAATAATCATATAA